GGGTGGGGTGGGGGTGGAGTGGAGGATTATTAGGGATCACATGGTTTTCAGGGGAAACAGAGGGGGAATAGTGGTCGCCAATAGAGTATAAAGGGGGGTTATGGAGAATTGACTGCCAATAAACAGCCACCGAGTGGGGCCATAAAAAAAATATTGTAGTCTTATCAGGTATCAAATCAATTTTATCCGGACAAAACCAAAATTCCCCAGCAACCCCTCCCCCTGAACGATAAATATTGATCCGTGCTTTTGGTGGAGTAAAATTATTTTTGAAGAGAAAATGGCATTGAGCTAACAAAGTCTAAACAAGAATTAATGCTAATTACAATGTAGTTAAAATATGGGACCGCATAACATACCTTTGCAAGTCAATATTAATTGTGGAAAATAAACAAAACAAAACAAAACAAAACAAAACAAAACGAAATGATATGGCTCCTTCTTCAGGCGTAGTACGTGCTCTTAATTTAACCAATACTGAGACTTCGGACCTTGTACTCTCACTTCTAAGTGCTACATTGAGAAATTCAGAACGGTTCTGGAGCATTGATAGGTAATTTTTGAAAGAAGAGAAATGCCGTTTATTGTTTTAATCATGATGAATGTCAGAAAAAGTATCTCAACATATTCAGAGATGATTTGACACTTAACTCAGTGGAACCGTTTTCAAAGGTACAACACACCTGTACCAGTATCAGTTCGTTCACGAATTGGCAGTGGAAGATTATGAAACTATAGTAAGGCAACTTAAACAGAACTTACTGGCCTTGAAGACCATTAAGGTAATCTCTGAGTCGATTACCCGCCGAGCTATCGTCATGGGTGTCAAATCCTCCTGCACTAATCACTGCGCCTGTACAAATGGAAAGCGATTGACTTACTAAGGCTTACTTTGGACTTGCGAAAGACACCCTTGTTTGTCCAAAGCCCTTTTTTTACGATTTAGTCAGAAGGCGGGAGTCAATCACGTGAGGGCGAGCGCGTTCTTTGAATCACCCGCAGCTCTTGTTTCGTTCTAGCTTTGGACAATGCTCTAATCAGAAATAAAAGGTCTGAGAAGAGATTAAACTTTACCTTAATGATCAGACCTTCTGGGATTATACGTTTCCACCAATTTCGAGGAGGGTAGATTGTCAAACGAAGGTATACACTTAAGTACAATAGGGACGAATGGAGCCTCGCCTCTACCCCTCCCTTCAGGTTGATACTATTTTAAAACTGAACCTTTTTAAAAACATTTTTTTGGATATCCGCCAGAATCTCAAATTAGATCCTAAAATGAAAGGCTTTATCAAAGAGGACACGTAGCGCAAATGTATTAATTACCACAGAATAAACGACATGGCCTATTCTTTGCCGACGTTTGAAACTTTTTGTGAAACACAAACATTGTGCAACGGATTTTGAGGCACATTTACGTGACTGGGAATAGCTTTCCTATCAGACTTTCATATTTTTTTCGCACCCAGAAGAAGAACATGAAGGAGGCCAGATTTAAAAGGCTTATTTCAATGGCCGTCTTTTTTTTTTGCCTGCCTCAAAAGTGCTCGATAGAGTCCAGAGATTTAACAGGAGAAGTTTACTCGAGCAGTACAGATCAGTTTGTCGGACCTGTTTCTCCGTCCACAACGACAACGTTATATCCTCGGCTGTGAGGGGAGTGATCTGTTCCATCCACCCTGATGTAAGCTTGGCCGCAGGGGTCTGCTCTTCCTGAATCCTCACAACCCTCGCTTCGAACGTGAATATCCAAGACCCGTACTGAAATAAACAAAGCGAAGAAAGATAATTGCAGCTTTTGAAAGAAGGAATAAATCCATTATACTTCAAAATCTATTGACACAGATGAAATATGCAATATGATGGACCGTGTATTTTATCTTTTATGCGGTTAACTTCTCATCTCCAGCTGTAAGCGGCTTGAGGGGATAAAGCATTATTATTATATGCAGTAAATGGTTTGAACCCGGGGGTAACATGTGAAGGTGTAGTCTGATCGTCCGGGTGAGTGTAGTCCTGAGAAGGACTGTTGTCGGTGGCAGTGACTGACGTTTCGACAACCTGTGCGGAAGTCATCATCAGAGTCAAGTGANTCACTTGACTCTGATGATGACTTCCGCACAGGTTGTCGAAACGTCAGTCACTGCCACCGACAACAGTCCTTCTCAGGACTACACTCACCCGGACGATCAGACTACACCTTCACATTATTATTATAATTATACCGGGTACTAAGTAGTTACCAGTCTCACAGCCCACTCCTTTTGTCCAAACGGGACATGTACAGACGTATCCATTAATCTGATCAGTGCAAGTACCTCCGTTAGAACAGGGATTACTGGAGCACTCGTTGATATCTGAGTAAAAATGTATGTTTAGAAGTCATTAGGAACACGGTTAATGATCCTCTCTTTAGGAGATAATTATGAATAAGACTCTTCAAGAAGAGTTGTGTTAGCTGGGTTCCCTGTTTTTTGGTCACATGACCTCAGTCACTCGGAAATATTCTGTGTACCGAAATCGTTTCGGTCAACTGCTTGGTAGTTGCGTTTGTCTTTTGTACATTTCCTTTGGTTTTGGGCATTCACTCGTGAGTAACAAGGTTAGAGAAGCACTTGAGAAAACCATTATAGAGGAATGTGGTCATTACAAGTCAGACTTCACAAATCTTGTATTTCTCCATTGAATAATCTATTAGCTTCGTACCACGTTACAAGGATTCAAGGAATAAAAATTGTCTTTAAGTTTAAAAAAATCAAACCGTGAATGCCGCCAGGCTGAAAACCGGCAATTCAGCAACGTAAAAGTAATGTGCACTTCCCAAACAGCTCCTACTCCAGTTTTCACAAATACTAAGGGTAATGAAAATAATCAATAATAATAATAATAATAATAACAATAATAATAATAACAATAATAATAATAAATATAAATAATAATTGCTTGAGTCGGGAATGTTTTAAGGTTCAGTTCTTAGCCGTTTAGTGAGACTTTGTTTCGTAACAGGTAAGCGACCAGGTTGCTGAGCAAGTTTCAAAATGGCGCAGTCCATCATAGAATTTTTAGTACATTTGAAGACTTTTTTTAGAAGGTGCATTACCTTTTCAAATAATAAATAGCAATTAGTGTCGTAATCTGATACACAATTTTCAATGGCGGAGATAAAAGTTATATGGCAACAAAATCATACTTCTCCTTTAGACTTACCCGCTTCACAATACCGGCCAGTAAAACCTGGTTTGCAAACACATTCATAATCGTCTTGACTGTATAATGGTCGACAGAATAAAGCTCCTTGTTGACAAGGATTGCTCATGCAGGGGCTCTGTTAAAAACGAAAATCGTAAGAAGAGAAAATTGACACTCCACCCAAACTCGAGTGATGTATCGTACAGCCAAACCTACGATCGGAGTCAGCTTAAAAAAGTCTATACGGTTGCCAATTTACATTATTAACTTAATCGGAGGGGTAGTTTATTATGCGATGATGGTCCTGTGTAGCAAAATTTATCAACTTAATGCAAATGAGCCACAATCCAACGAGAAACGTCGCATCTGAATCTGTAACGTACAGTGTAGGTGCCCTTAATCCCCCAAGTCGTGCGTGACCATGAATTCAAAGAATGGTCAAAGTTCTTTATAACATAGCTTGTAATTCGTGCAATCAAATTCAATTGCGCGAGCGTGCTTCAATTTTCCATTGTGCACGCTGGTGACGTCAGCAACAAATGCCTCGTGAAAAAAATTTTTTTCTCACGAGTGACTTTAGCATTTTTCATTAAAAAACGGGAAAAACTTCCGCAAAAAAGTTAAATTAGGTATGGCAACAAGCGAACAAGCCGATGAAGATCTGCCTACCTTTCCTTTGGGAATGGAATTTTTAACTCCCGAGAAAGAACCCAGAGAAAGGGAAACAATCAACGGTTTTATCTCGTTTCATAACTCTAACTTCATTTCCACGCTTGAATTCACCTGTCAGGTTTTGACCAATCAGAGAAGATCATTGAAGCATAGCGAAATACTTTTCCGAAACAAAATAAACAACGCATTGAAGCGTAGGAGAGGGAATTTCTGCCCTTTATACATAAACTACAGCGTTGAAATTGTTATAAAACAGTTGGTTCATACGTCAGCTGTGCGTTCATCGAGATATGAAGCACTTGAGAAGTTTGGAGAGCATTCAAGAAGCTAGAGTTGCTCTCGGCTACGCCTCCAGCAACTCTTACGCATCTTTCGTGCTCTCCAAACTTCCCGTGTGCTTCATATCTCGATAAACACACGCTGACGTATGAACCAATTGTTAATTATAACTGACTGGGTCGTCCTCTTTGTCTATTTTTTAGGTTGTAAGCAGGCAAAATTTATTATTCTCTGAAAAAATCGCTTTGCTAAATTACCCCCCCAAAAAAATAGCTTGACACCTGCCTTAATATTATAATGATCGAAGGTCTCGCTGACAGCCAAATCATTCGGTTTTTGGAACTTGTCCGTGTTCAGTAATTCGCACCCAAGCTTTCCATCAACTGAAGCTGTAGCTAAATTTACGGAATAACAGTGTAGGTGACTGACACAGAGATGAATACACTCTTGGACTCTGTATACCCCCATAGCGACTAGAATAGCGACGTCAAGTCTTTGCAAGGGATTCTTCACAAAATTGGCGTACTTTACATCATATTGGCCGTCTCGTCTGAAGGTCTGAGCGGAGGAAAACGTGTATATACCAATAGAAAGCACTAGCGTCATATACGATTTGATCCTCTTCATTTTTTTGTAGCATTAAAAAATACTGACCCAATAAAACTGATGTATCTACTGATGGAGTTGAATCCAAAAATTGAAAGTTTGTTTGTTAAACCTACCGCAGAAAAATTAATTAAAAAGTGTTTACTTTTGCTTACCTAGAAATTTCCAACGAGATGGCAAAAGATTCAATCAAGTTTTATTTACATAAGTTGTCTTAAATTAAAATGTTCGATATTGCTTTCAATTTGTTATCTTTTCATGCTTCCCAGTGCTCGCCAAATGCGAGTGCCTCGGTTTTACGATTCTCCACAACGGGTAACATAACCCCCCACTGATTACTGGAAAGAAAGTTGACAATATGGCAAAGTAAACGGTTGGAGACAATGCAGCTATGTAATAGAAAGGCTGTACATGTTTTTGCCTGATTATATCACTTCTTGAGGATGATCGGTATATTATTTAGGTGAAAAGCTCTGGAAAGTAACTTCCTGAACGTAGTAATGAAGCAGCAATTCTGTTTTTAAAACTGATTTCAACTTCAGTATTGTTAGCGTGGGTTTAAACGTTAGAATAAACTTGCATAGGACACATGAGAATTAAAATGAGTTGTTGGTTCTGCCAATCTAGTGTTTTGATTTACAAACATAAACTAGCAGATAGGATGCGTATGTGGGTGACCTCTGACAATGGCATTTCAGCTCTTGTCATGGTTGTGATTCCTAATTTCTTTTCACCAGCTCCGGCATTTTGAAACATTTCAACAAAAGTTCTGTTTGACTGTTCGCACAATGTGGGTGTACAACTTTTAAACAAGGCAGCCCACAAGTTGAATTGGCGAGCATCTTAAAATTTCAAGATGTGAGAATTCCCTGAAGGTATTAAAGAATGCGAAGTTGATTAACTGATAATCGTAACGAAAGAGACACCTTTGCGAAACACCTTTGCACCACATAAAGCAAAGACAGATTTCAAAGAATACCGCGGGTTTTGAAAAATAATGGAACTATTCCCCTCCTTGAATTTATCGAAAAGCCAAGAAGCTATTACAAATGGAACCCATCCTAGCAAGATGACTGGCCTCCTGTGTTCTTACTCGGGGTAATACTCGAGAGATTTATCTTTGACTGTGCCCGGCCTCGATAAGGGTAAGCGTGAGGTTGAGAACACTGACATAAACTGTTAATGTAAGACACCATACAAACGTGGAAAATGTCGTTCGATGTCGCACACGTTGCAGGTCATTCCTATCACGCTGCAATTTCGCCAACAGAAGGCACAAGAAAAAGACAGTAGGATCAAGAACTAGATTGATTAAGTTATGATCCTAAACTCGCGGGAAAACTAAATTGATCACACTTGATGCAATTGGGGCATGCTCAGAACAACTTCTTTGATAGAAAAAAAATGATAATTGAAAGAAGAAAACACTTTTAATAACTTGAATTTTCTAAGTAACGCTTTTTCCAAATTCAAAAGCATTCTTCGCAAAATATAACAGAATAAAAGAAATAAGAAGCAAAATGGAAGAAGTTTTGAACAAAGCAAAATTGAGTAAATCAGTAATTCATGTAAGTAACACGCATGTACTGTAAGTAGCGTTTTGGACGGTACTAAATTGCACTTTTTAGTATCAAATTATTTTACATTTCTCGAAATAATCCAATGGATGAGAAAGACAAGAAGAAAGTCTATGAATCTATTATTACACAAAACAAACAGATTGACATTGGAGCGCTCAGTGACAGCCACGTTTTAGTTCTTACCATTTTTATGACGTCATCGGTGGTCCATTACTCAACAGACGCATGGCAACATAAAATATATCCGTTGCAATTTAAATTTGTCACAGGAGGTTGGTTCCCGTTGCATCAATGTTAACAAATTAATTTTACACTTGACAAAGAAGCCAACCAGGTTCTTAAGATGTGATCGCATTACTTTCATTAGTAATTTATATTATTTTCAAATCTTTAATAAACAAACATCTCAACCCCTTGTTTTGCGCAATTTCTAGGATCTTTCTAAATAATATTAAAATTTTTCCGTTTTGAGGTATTTTCAGAGAACTTAGAATTAACCAATAATCATTTTAATCCGACATTTCATCCATGAAAACAAGAACTCCGATAGATGGAGCCATTCTTGTTGGGCCTAAACTTGGTGAACTAATTGAATTCTTTCAAGTGTATATCAGACACAACATTCCTTTCTTCCCTTTCAAATTTATTAACTCAGGTTGGCTTTCTCAGTAAATTAATCTAGCTGCCCTGTGGTTTGTATCATAAATAAACTTTCGAGATTGATTTTTGAAAAAAAAGTCCCAAAAGCTATTGTTTCATGCCTGTTTTTGGCCGCGATCCTTTTAACGTGGTGAGATGTTATTTCGGTAACTTAATGGTGAATTTCAAACATATTGATTATGTTTTACTGTAGATGTGAGGCCCTGCATGAATGCCTCAGTCACTCTTTCGCTTTAAACGAACTTTATTTTGTATTTTTAATTAGGAGATGGAGAGAAGTAAATTATTTGTTACCTTTCTACTGCCATTACTACTAACTATTGACGCTTCGTTGGGCGCTGAAGACTTCAAACGAGATGACAAACGAGGAGCACGACACGCATATTTTGTGAGGAATCCTTCACAGCGACTAAATTATACTATTCTGGACAGTTTTATGGTCTCCGAGCCTATGGGATGTGTTTTTCAATGTATTACTCACCAAGAATGTTATTCAGTAAACTTTGCCGTTGTTTCACATGAATCAAAGCACATGTGCGAGCTGTTAAACGCGGACAAGTTTCGAAACTCCAATTTCCTTCAAAGCATAAGCTTTGACCATTATAACATAAAGGTAAGTGCGAAGGTATCACGTTTAATTTTTTTCGTGGCATAAAGGTTGTGAATATAACAATACTTTTGCACGGATAAAAACTTGCGTTCTACTATAGATTCTTAATTACAGAGGTCATGGAATGTCCTGTCTGATCACACGCAAAAGAAAAAAAACAGACCCACCTGATCGCTCATACTCAAATTTAATTTTTCTTAATGAATATTTTTAACCCTTATTTCTTTCTGGGTGTAACTGCCGTGGGCAACTGATTCTTTAATTAATAAAGACAAACAACTCTAAGATAATTTTCAACGCGAGTTTCGCAATATCCGATGCGAAAAAACTGCAAATAAAAGAGCCAACGAAAACCTATTACAATACAAACTAAGCTAAATACACTAGGAAAGCTACAACGAGACAACGAGGAAACTACATAATACAAAACTTATATTTTTTGCGATTTTGTTGATTCTCTGCCTAGCGGCGAAGTAGCTGCACAAAGCGAATGACAAAATATAGTCGAACTTACTGGACAAAACTGCATAGACTATGATGAACATGTACAATAAGGTATAAATACATGCTACGTTACGTAACGTTACGAAATGACACAAAAAAGGCAAGCAAAATTTGTACTACAATTAGCACTATTTGAACAAGAACAATAAACAAGGGAAAAGAATAAGGCGTTTGCAATCTACACTGGGTAATAGCAAAGATCGTAGCGTGCGCAGCAA